ACTGTTTCTCATTTTTCTCTGACCTATGCGACACCAGAAAGACATTCTTCAAGCAGTTTTTAATAAATTGTAAGTGAACGAAAACAGAAAAAATCATAGTTTCCCTATTATACATATAAAATACATGTACGTTTAGATACATGTATGCATAAGTACATGTTGCATATCAAAGAAATACTAACATTAAAATATCGTGTACACATGAGTTACCACCCGGCCTGAAACGTTTAAATACACGCGTACCGAACGAATTTTCGAAGTTGATTTGATCGAAAACGTAGCCTCGTAAGGAACAATTGTTCTCCAAATTTTCAATTTGTTTCTGCACACAAAATTGCTACCTTTTCGATTAAGCTACCATTCCCGCCGCACCCTGTAAGTTTCAAAGGTTACGGCCTGTTCCATAAATTAATGTTAATCGTATTGGCAGGAAACTGACGTTGCTGAGTTTAATCGACGTTGGTTATAACCCGTTGCACGTCACACTGCGATGAAAACTTTGTAACGGTCACGACGAGAATATGACATTCGGCAGAAATATCATCTTTGAACGTCGACGAGATTCAACGATCGAGCTGAAATGGATTAAACATTTTATAAATTCCAACACATTTAATCAACAGACCTACGGTATATCCGCGAATGCGAATTAAAAAAAGCTAAAGGTAATCTTTCACTAAACGAATGCAACCCATGGCAACTGATTACAAACGCAGTTCGCGATAACACATTGCAAATATATCTCACGATCGCTAGTTATAATAATATAATTTACGACACTCGATATTGATATTAAATTGATACAAACGCGCATACAAGTTCCTCGCGATTACTGATTAATCTCGGCAATTATCGTTTCATAAATAATTATTAATACGATGAATCATGAACCACAAAGTAATCAGTTACTGTCTACACTGGCAGAAATCCAGAATCTTCTCGGTATTTGCACAGGCATCGATTCCATCGGAGCCAGTTCATCCGAACGATCGCGGCGATCCCCATCGAATACTGCCACGAACTCGCAATAACGCGGGAATGTAAATAAATTAGAGGTGGCGGAAGTTTGCAGTACTTTCGGTAGTCCTTGTTTATCGATGTTTACGAGACAGTTTCAGTTCTTCGAATTTGCCATTATCGGATGGTCCGTTTAAGCCGCGCGCTCGATAATCCAATGATACGCGATATGAAACGATACGACGTACGTATAAAGATAACGTTTCGGTGCATCGGAGACGTGTCGATGTCGCATTATGCAAATTGCACGTGACACGTGCTATATAATTCGTGGGACTCGCGGCGCGTCTCGCGAACGCGACGGTTGAAGCTTTGCGTGAAATCGCGCCGCTCGTAACGGGTTTGCTCGTCAATTTGTAATTGATCAGCCGGCAACGGGCAAAAAAATAATAGGGTAAAAACGAGGAGAAATCAAGCGTAAAAATGTCGTGTAATCTCTTTGGAAATTTCTACGTCGCGGCAACGATAAAAAAAGAAACAGACTATAAATATCTTTCCCAACGTTTCCCAACGTGCTGTTTGTTGGGTGAAGCGAAAAAACAAAACAGGGGACGGAGGGGGAGAGACAATCAACGAATAGAGGAAAAAATGTTAACCATGTAAGAATTAACAGAAACAGATGCGATGACTCACCATGAAAACCATGAACCTTGATTGCAGGTTGGCGCTCTCGAAGTAAGTCAGCGTTTCCAGCGTTTGCTCGCCCGTGTACGCTGTTCAACTTCCTTTCTCCGTTTCGATCGTTTTCCTGGGGTATTAATTCACTTCACAGCCGAGAAATCGATCGGTCGGTCCACTTCAATAATCACAGCTCGATCTCACTGTTCGATTTAGATATATATTATTTCCCGACCGCACGTGGTCACTGGTAATTAACACAAAAAAGAAAAAAAAAATATATATATACATATACATATATATATATATATGTTACGAGAAAAAAGAAACCGGGGGTTAGTTTACCGACGAACGAGATCGCGGAAAATTGTGATTACGATGAGAATATAATTGCTTCTCGACTCGATTCTTTATTGCTCCCCGATTATTTATGATTACGTGTAACGATTAACGTCTGTAAACGACGTTGTCTAGTAAACGATTATCCAAAAATGGTGATGTATTGCCTATTAATTTAACTATCTAAGTAACTTATTAATTGGCTATTGGTAGCGACAGATACAGATACTGGCTCTCTACTGGCATCTGATTGGCATACTGGCATAAATACTGGCCCGTTCGGCGTACGTCACCTGCAACATACAAACGTACGTATCTGCATTAGAAATTAGTCGGCACGATTGCGGGAAACTTAACTAGTAACGACAATGTTTTATCACTGGTCTGCTAGTATCTCGGTCCAAGCTAAATAAAACTCTTGGAACGACGTAAAAACAACCAACGAGACCACATTCTAAGTATACTCGGAGAGCATTAATGTTTCAACTCGGAGGAGGATTTTCTGCATTACTATACAGTAATTACACGGTCTGTCTAAAAGGAAACCGAACTTTTGCTATGAAAAGAAAAAGGTACAAGTAAAGTTTTTACACACACGTTTATTTACTCTAAATAATCTCCCTCTGCGTCGATACAGCCTGTAGACCGTGTAATTAACATTACGAAGGACCTTTGCAGCTCCTGTTTTGGTAGCCCGTTTAGTACGGGGGTTACAATAGCCTGAATCTCCGAAATGTTGCTACAATGTGCCCCTTTCATTGGAATTGCCATTGTTACCTTCGATCATCCACCCTACTCGTCTGATCTGTCTCCCTGCGATTATTTTCTTTTCCCAAAATTGAAAATTCCAATGAGAGGGACACATTGTAGCAACATTTCGGAGATTCAGGCCGCAAAGGTCCTTCGAAATGTTGATCACGCGGTCTACATGCTGTATCGACGCAGAGGGAGATTACTTTGAGTGAATAAACGCGTGTGTAAGAACTTTACTTGTACTTTTTTTCTTTTAATAGCAAAAGTTCGGTTTCTTTTTAGACAGACCGTGTATTTTCTACACATAGATACATCAAAAGCATTGTATAGTTTCTCAAATTGAGAAAACACACAACAACACAATTGATAGATTCTTGTAGATAAAGATTGGAATTTAAAAAAAAATATATACATGTCGAATTGAGTAACCGCCTCCTTTTCGAAGTCGGTTAAAAGCAGATAATACTGCGGGATATTGAATCAATTTTTGTTCCCTTGTTCAATTAATCAATCTATAGATACGAATTTCGCTGATTTCTGTGAATGGATTAAACGATGCAAACGCGAAGAACGCTTAGTCATTTCCGAATAAAACTGCAGTAGTCGTGTTTGCCAGAATGCAAACAAACGCAACACATATTCAGTTTTTCCATTCATTGTAAAGAGAAACCGGTTAAACGTGAATATTGCGAGAAGTTTAGACGTCATAGATTTGCGTTGAAACATAAAGAACTAAATGGAAGATCGATTAAGATTAATGATGTTGATTTAACGTCGAGTATTGAAAATAATTCTGTGTACGGAATGCAAGATCTTGTCGGAATATTGCACGAGGTATTATATTTACAAATAAGTCGAAAATATAGAATAACAATTTTTCATGCGAAGCTTTGTTTTCGAGAAAATCGACTTCGAATTTTCGTCGGGTACGGGTGAACTTGATCGTGTCTCGTTATAACGAATCTTGCTGTGGATCGTTGTCTCGATCGTTATTATCGCGATTTAATTTTACTTGTATCGTAACGGAAAGTTAGGAACACGTAATGAAATAGAATGTTGAAGTACTAAATAAAATTTATCGTTACAGAAATTTCTGAAAATGTTTCCCATTCGGCCGAATGCATATTTCTGCTCTTCTAATTGAGATTGTTTTAATGTACGCTCGCAACTTGTGATATCTCCGGAACACACGATAGATTTAATACGACTTCATAAAAGTCAAAACGAAATGTCAAAGTCGATTGTCTCAAAAACAAAGCTTCGCGTGAAAGAGTAAAACATTTTTATTGAATATTTTCGACTTATTTTTTTCATGTAGAATCACCCCATTTTTGCTCGAGCCACCAGCTACCGAACACCCTGTATAATAATATTATTATTAGGTTGTCACGAAAGTTTCTTTCGCGAGTTGCACTCAATGATTTGATGTGGTCGTGTTTATATAAATAGACAATCTAATTCCATAGATATTCATGTTGTAACAGTAATGGAGCAAAATGAATCGTGCACAAATTCAGTAATGTAACATGAAGCATAAAATATTGTGTATGTATTACTTATCAACACGTTGACTGACAGATAAATATTCTTAAAAGTTTCTGGTAAAATGAAATATTATTTAAACTATCGGTGACTGCGTAATCAAACATTTATCGTTGTATTTATTTTTGTAATTTCATACAAAATCATGAATTTCATTTAAATTCATTTCCTTTGATGCTCGACTTCCAGAATTGAGTCTTTCAGTTCTCCAGTGAAAAGCACTGTCACCCATATGTGGGTGACATGGCGATCAATGTGTTAATAAAGCGAAAGAAACTTTTGGGACAACCTAATATTTCATTTTGTACAACTGCGCATACCTTGGCACGTGTTTATTACGTCCGCTCGTATCGTAAATGCGTAAAATCCACAGTCTAACAATTACGAGTTAAATGGAAGTAGTAAGTTGTTCGAGTCATCGGAGACGGAAGATCATTGATCGGTTCGATAGGAAAAACGTAACAGTAGGGCATAATAATGAGTAAATGCAATGGCATCATTTTGTCGGGCGCGGTCGACTGTACCAGGCCGGGCCCGTGACGCACCCGGTCTTTATTTAAATCATTCGATCCGTCACGCTATAATCGATTAACGTTAATAGCCAGGGAAATAGAGCCGAGCACCGAGATGCACAATTTCTAGCTACCGCGCCCCTCGCGGGAATCCCTCTCGTTCCTCGATCGAGGTATCCGGCAATCCAATCAGCCGCCAAACATTTTCTATAGAAATTAACGTTCCACTGTACGTATTATTTAAGATTCTTATCACGGCTGGCTGTGAGAACATTTCCATATTACTTTCCCTTTGCTTCGTTATCATTAATGCACCTTATAATTTACGGAAATATTGTATACACTTGCAGTTCGGCGATACTGTAATTACAAGCTGCTCGAAACGACTTTATCGCTCGACCAAGTACGCAATGCTTTAAAAGATCTAGTATACTCTACAGGGTGTCTCGAAATTATAGACGTAAACTTAAGCGGGTAATGGAGCTCGTAAAACGCGAACAGAAGGTCTTAATAAGCATCCGTTCGGGAGCACCGATTCGGAAATATTCCACTTTTAATTCGTACGTCTACGGTTCTCAACTTATTTCTTATTTGTAATCAGCCAATAATCGTTAGAAACCTATTAAAGAACCACTGCGGTTTCCAAACTTTTTTGAGACGCTACTTTTTCTGAAAAAGGGAATTCATTTTCCAGCATGTTCCTTAACTTTCTATGGATTAATTTCGTGGTAGCGTGAGACTCTGTTTATCTCACAATCTACTTCTTAATATTTATGCTTGGAAATATTAGGCGTAGAAATGAATACCTTTGTAAAGTAAACCTACCATTTATTTAAAAGTAATTTTAATACAATTTTTAATCTTCCCTCGCACGTTTCAAAAAGAAGACATACAGTTTGGAAAACGAAATGTCGAAGCAATCTGTGTTCATTACGATCGTTACTATAGAGATTAGTAATTTAAACACAAGAAAATTACGAGAAAATATTTGTATTTAAACTACGATTGCATACGAAATCGCATAATTACTTTCAACACCTAATACATAGAACAAGCAACTAAAAAGGTAAAAAATCTAACACAAATGCTCATAACTTTTCCTTGACTTAAGGATCAATAACATTGCCAGCAACGCTCTATTGCAATAGTCAAAAGGTAAAAATCCATTCAGTCCTGCAAAAATAATACTAACGCTCACGGTATTTCTTCCGCCCCTACTAAGCAACGTGTCGAAAAACAAGGTAGACAACATTTTACAGCTTGCACTTTGCGAGCGTTGTCTCAAGGAAACGATCTACGTTAACGGTGAATTCTAGATCCGGCACGCGTAATGTGGTACACACATTTCGTACACAGTGTGAGTAAAAACCGCATTGGTATTCGCACTTTCGTTAGTGCACTTTCACAGCGGGTTCGTAACGGTAGCCCTTGCGCTCCTGCAACTGCATACCTGGGCAAATGCAGTTCTCTACAATCGCGCCGTACGCAAAAGAGCTCGAGCCGACACTTTCGTGCCTGGAACACCATCGTGACTCGCGGCATAATCGTTAAAAATGGAGATAATTATATATCGAATGAGCTCACCTATATCGCGCATTATAACGCCTCTCGTGCGAGCCTACCGCCAAGAAAACGAGCGCGAGCTGCGAGAGTACGCGCTGCACCGTAAATAAACGGTGACGATCATAATCTGATGATTATTCGAGTAACAAGCGGCGAATAACACCCACGTATAGCGATTTATTCGTCTGAACAGAGCTTTATTCGTTCATTGTGACATATACCATTGGAGCATTCAAATTTGTAATATAACGTAATCAAAAATGTTGGCATCTCTATTACGAACTTGGAATAAAATATGCATTGAATATATAGTGGCGAGGTGACCGATTCAATCTCCCATCTTCAAGTTATTAATAATATAATGAAATAATCTGCTAATGTTCATTATTTCATTATAGCCTATGCAGAATAATATAACAAATGAAGGTAGGAAATTGAGAATGTTTGATGAAGTTATACATCAAAGTAGAAGAACGTCGAAACATAATTGTCATGCATTATTCATTATGATTGAAATTTCATAGATAAATGAAAATGTTTAATGATGTCCATCAAAGTGGAGGAACGTTGAAATATAATTATTGAGCGTAATTTATCATGATTGAAATTTGAATAAATTGTTAACACGAGCAATTATTCCACGTGAATTAAGGTATTCAAATTACAACTCCTTTCAGATTTTAATTAATAAGCATGATAATATAATTATTCAATTTCTAATTTACGGTGTAAAAATTAAAAGAAGTTGTGCAGTGATAATTTCATATGACGTATGAATGGTATACGGAAACAGACGTAAAGAATGCCAACGAATTTACATTGTTATTGGGAACATAATTGCACGTCTGAGGGAATGCCAAGATAAAATGTAGAGTGCGAGTGACGGAAGCCACTTCCTACTGCGTAAACTTTCGTTCGTGTTCTATGAAATTTCACATATGCGATAAAAGTTTTAACGAAGCGTAATAA